AGGCCGCCGGGTCGCTTCTGGGCTCAGCCCCTCCCGCGAGCCCCGCGGGTGGGGTTTTGTTTCGGGGGGCCCGGGACCAGCCAAAGGGGTTTGACCGCGGGTCAGCGTAGCGAGCGCACAGCTGGCTCTCCAGCTCCATCAAAGCCGCCAGACTCACCGCCTTCTCCCCCGAAACCGCTCCATTCTGCTCCTTCCTGGAATTGTACTACGGTGCCCATCATCCCCCTAGGGCTGCCCAGGGTGATGGGGCCGAGCAATAATCCCTGGCAACTATTCAGACTGGCAGGGGGGCAAGGCGAACAGCTGTGCCTTCTTGCTCAGAAAGAGGAACAAGGGGGCAGCTGGCTTGCTGGTGCCAGGCACAGGCCCTCCAGACTGCATTCATGACCGGTTCCTTTGCAGAGCTTGGGTGCCCTAGGCAGGGGTTTCTCCTCTTCTTGCCACAAGCCTGCGAGGCTGTGCAGTCTCCCCAGTCCAATACTGGAGCAGTTCCATTGTCCCGCAATGACTCTCTGGGCCTTGGCTGATGCTGAGCCTTGCACAGCTGGTGAATGCCAGTTCTTGGTGTTTTGCTTCAAGAGACGTTTGGTTTTCAATGAGCGTGGAGACACAGCAGAAAATTCTAATTCTAAGGCCAGCAGGTTTCTGGCTTTTTCCAGCCCCGGACAACTGTAGAACTCAATGATGCCCATAAAGACCATTTCTGAACATGGGAGGAGGCATCAGTGAGATCAGGCAGATGTCTATCCTGACTCAAACGCAAAGGAAGAGGTGATGTGTCCCCTTCAACAGCATCACTGCCACGGATGGTATTTGGGTTTTGCCAAACTATCATAGATAGTTTTGCCAAACTATCATTCCTCATAGAGAGGAATTTTGCTACATCTGGTATATTGTCCTGGGATGACGGAGCATGAACAGTCATCACATCCAGAGGACGTCAAGTTGGAGAGAGACAATGACACGGGAAAAAGAAAATACCCCCCCCCAAATTATGGTTTATTAAGTGTAATAAAACCCTCATTTTCTAGAGATTGCTGATTTAGTGTTAATCCTATACCAAATGGAGCCCCCAGATCTAGTGCTATGTTCAGTAGTTCAACTCTGGAATGCTTTTTAAGGGCCTGTATACTTATTCCAATCAAAGCAGGTGGAAGTTCTTGGTTGACCCCAGCCAAAACCAGGCCTGGTTAACTCTTGCTTATGGGATAGCACCAGAAAACATCAGGCTACAGGTTTTGCCAGGAAATCAGAAGATCCCAGAAGAAAATCCCATACGCCACTTCTGTGCCATTGCCAAGAAAATTACATTGATGGGTCCATGAGGAGCAGAGCTCACCTCAAAGGAAACTTTACATTTCATAATCCCACAGGGAATGGATGAATTGGCTGCACACACAAGCCAGAAACTATGGTTTTACAACTACATGGCTGGACTACATAGCGCACTGAGCCAGATACACAAACCGTACTATAAGAGTTTTGCATCCATGGATCCTGTTGAAACTCATGTGCAACGATGGAACTGCACACATACACACAAACTAAGACTGACCCTGCAGTTCGGCGCTGCTGGCTGTGCAGATGGTTTTGAATTTCTTGTACAAATGTTTCCATTGCTGAGGAGGTTGTCTGCAATGATCCTGCAGCCTACCAATCATCCTTAGGGCAGCATTCCTTAGATCTGCTCCTGATGACGACTCTCAATCCGTGTTACAAACCTGAGCAAGGCCAGGAAGAACACTCCGAGAGCCATCAAGTGACCTTGCTGGGAGCCCCATCTGTTTGTGCTGCTAGGTATTTGCTGCAACCTCTCTGGACCAGTTGGCTGAATGGCAGGAACTGGGAAACCCCTACTCACCACTCCTAAGCCCACCTCAGGGTTGGATTCCGATGCTGTTACCTAAAAGTGCAGGTTTTCCTCCCTTCCAACTTAGGAATGCTTTTTCATTAGATAGAAAGGAAGAAATCACCATTAAAAACCTTCAGAGGTGTAATAGCGCAGGAACACCTTTGTCAGGTCCTTATCTGGGGTCCAGCACTTATTCCACTTCCATCTTACATCTGCAAGTACTTATAAATCCACCTGGGACCCAGAGAGACTACCTGAAAAGAAGACCCGGCGGCCAGATGCCGAGTCTTAGACACTCCCTACTCACAACGTTTTGTGGTCCAAACTCTTTGCGTCCCAAGACAGCGAGGCTTCAGCTGTGCCATGGAGGGTACGAAATGCCTTCTTCAACAAGCTGAGAGGCAGAAAGCTTTGGAAAGTCTCCGTTTATTCACTCAGGAAAAAAAAAACTGTACAAATATTACAGGCAAGTTTCTTTTGCTGCAAAAAAGTATAAAAATAATCTTTATATATGAATCAAAACTCCTTTCTCTCTCTCCCCCCCCCCCGAACATTTCCTCTATGCATCCTCTGGGGGATGTCACCTAAGGGGTCGGGGCACAAGAGGGTGACAGCAAAGAGAAGCAAAGGTCTGGCTGCTAAACAAGAGCAGGCCTAACCACGTACAAAAGGCAGGGATGGGATGCATTAAAGGCAGACAAAGAGTCCTCTGGCTTGCTGGGGACAGCCATGCGGAGCCAGAGCAGCAACCCAGAAACCCTGGAGGCGGAGCTGTGTCCTTTCGGGTGAGGTGAACCGGACTCCAGAGGCTTTTTGAGACAGCCACCTGCCCAGAGGCAGAGGCAGATGCTCCCAGGCTGGAGAGGTGAAAAGCAACATTCCGTTTCATTTCCTACCCAGAAGGACTCAAGGTTGCTTTTGTGGATCCTTTAGCCAGATTCCCAGGAGGACCACCCAGCTGTGCCTAGGTCTCCCTTATGACAACAGAAACATTCCCTGATTACAGGGGGAAAGATCAGGATCAGGCCTGCCCGCTCACATGAACCCTTCCACAATTCTAAGCACACTTCACTCAGTCCCATCGGAGAGAGACTTTCACCCAAGCAGTTCAGGGCCGGGATGCTAGAGAGCTCCCCCTTCAGATCTAATCCCTTCCCATCCCACCAGACACACTGCAGGGGGTGCCTTCTGCCCCTGGGAGGAGTGCAAAAGCAAGGAATCAGGAAAGCGAAGTTTGGGGTTTGCATGTGGCATAACACAGAGGCCGACTGGAGGTTAAAAGGATATGGCTTTCAAGGGACAGATGTTAAGAAGTGCAATAGGGAGGGGGGAGGCGAAGGCTCCTTCCATGTCCTGCTGATCAGCAAGGATCAGGAGAGGACTCTGATGGAGAGGCCAATAATGTGTATCAAACAGAATATGGGAAAGGGCAGGTCGTGGTTAGGTTCCCAAGAGAAGTCGGACTGTGCCAATAGGACTGGCAATGTAATAATAAGGACTGGCAAATCGCAAAGGGAACAGTCCCTGTGCATCCCCAAAAGCCCTATTCTAGCAGCTATGGAAGAACGACATGCTACTGAGACTCATTTCACTAGGTGTGACTAAACCCCCTCCATGGTGGGCTCCTGGTGGAGAACTCGGGACCTTGAGGGGCATTCCCATAAGCCCCAGCCAGCTCTTCCCTTGCTGATGCAGCACAGCTGCAGACGGGGGCAACCCATTGTGGGTGTGCAAGAGGCTTCACGTTTAGAACAGGCAGGCCCAACTGCTTCAAGCCTGAAATGTTTTGCACACCCTTACAATTCATTTTTCGGTTCTGACTCTTTGGAGGAAAGTGACTGTGCAAAACTGGCACCTTAAAAAAAAAAAATACACAATAGTCTACACAGCTTAAAAGGAAAGGGCTTCGTGCTTTGCATGACAGGAGATGGACCAGTACTGTTACTCAAAATGCCACTTCTAAGCACATACAACTGATCCAGGGAGCAGCTGAGATTCCTGGATTCCATCATGCCGAAAGCAGACAGTTGCTAAAGAGAGAACGCCCCGTCATCGGAATTCTACAAAGAAGCCAAGAGAGAGGCCAGTGATGGGTTTTCCCAAAAACCGCCTGGCTACAGTTCAGCCGTTCCATTCGTAACCGGAAAAGAAAAAGAAAAAGAAAAAAAAAGATGCAAAGTGCAGGGATGCCAAAATAGGCTAGGGGGACCCAAGGAAGCGCTTTTGCTGCTCAGGAAGATTCAACAGCAGATGCCTGGGAAGCAGGCCCACCCAGGATTCAGTGAAAGGATAGCACAGGAGTGAAGCAAGGGAAGCCAGGGAAGAAAGAAGCTGGAGACGAAGCTGCCATCCTAGTTTGTTTTCGGTCTAGACAAGAGCAGCTCTGTGTATCACTCAAGCACTAGCAGAAAAAGAATCCAAAATTAAGAGTTCGGGGCTTTTTCCCCCTCCCTCCAGACAGGTTTGTTTCTTTGCTTTAAAAAAATATCCGTATCCCAAAAGTCCATCCAGGCACCCAGAGTCAGAGGTTGAGGATCGGGACATCAAAAAGGTCACACACCCCTTCGCTCTCATCCAAGTTGTAGATATAGTCATGGTCTCCAGGAGGTGGGGAAAGACGAAGTAAGGGAGCAAACACTGCCCAAGAGAAAAAAGGACACTTTTAGTGCTTAGGGGGCCTGGCCCCTGGTTCAGCAACCCCACACATTAGCCCCTCTCTGTTAGCATGGTGGCTTTACTGGGCCAGCAAATTCAGGGTCTGCTGTTGCAACCTTTCAAAGAGTCCAGGGTCCTGTCCCTGACCACTAGCTACGTCTCTGAAAATGAGCACAATTTTAGGAGCACCACCTTCTCTCTTCACACTCCAAGAGTGTGGAGGGAGAAAGAAAAGGAGCTCCTGCCCCCATCATTTTGAAGATGGAGAGGCTGCAAATGCTTCTTTGCCCTGTGGTTTGCTCTGCCCTAAATGCAACCAAGCTACATCCAGCAGACGTAGAAGCAAACCAGAAGGTGCCTCTTTTTCCTGCATCTGGTTCCAAGATGGAAGAGAAAGAACTGTTGGGGTCATATATCTATGACTTCTCTGCCTTCAGCTTGAAGCATCAAATAGGTACTTCACCTTAGTTTCTTCTGGGCAGAGAAGGAAGCCCCAGAAGTCCACTTCCTTTTGCATCCCACTTGGAGTTTGGCTATTTTTCAGCACAAACACTGAGTCAAAACAAAATCCCAGACTTGAGAAAAATTGGGGGGGATAATGAAAAGACACGATTAATCCCCTCTCTTCTCTAAGTCCAAGTTAAAATACACTGGGGTGCCCAAGACTGACTCCTGTTGTCCTCCAAATAAAGCTTGGTTTTCTTGTACATTATGTTGCAGAGATGCTGATTTCAGAATCCCCCATTCATTTTTAGGGCCTTGTAGATGGGAGTGTGACTATGCATCTTCAACAAGAATTTCAGCAAACTACGCTTCCTGTTCCTCAGAGACTCCAAGAAAGTATAAAATTAAGGAGAAAAGCACCAGTGCATATGTTCTACCACTTTAAAAAAATCATACTAGTAAGATAGAGTGCCACTGACGCAATGTACGTCACACGGACCTCAGCTCATGAGCCAGCACATATTCAGGGACTCGAAGCTCAATTAAAGCAAAGCACTTTTTTATAGCTGCCCTCCCTAGCTTTCTCTGCTATCCTAGGTGGCCTCGCGCCAAACCTGTGAGTAGAAGGAACCAGCCTTACCTTCAGATGACATCAGCTCTTCAAGCAACTCAGAGCTCATGCACTCTGTGGGAAGAAGGGGAAAAAAACGCATGAGAAGGTTACATGTGTGCAAAATACGTGCATGCATATCCCAGGGTCCCAAATTGGATCCGTGATTCTTCCACCCATCTTCATCTGTCTCATGTCTCGGTTCTCTCCTCCCTTGACTACCTATGAGCAATTGGACAGATTCTGCAGGATGAGAGTCCTGCACGAGCAATACCGAAACAATGCATTTTTAGCAGCTGCTTCTTTCCCCAATGACTTGGTGCACATAGGGAACCACATGATGCATCCCTGGCACGTTCCTTCAGTAACATGCTTAAATGTTTTAATCTTTCAGCAAGTACAATCCTCCCTACGAGGAGAACACCAGCACAGGAGACATAAGCCAGAAATGCGCTTCCGTCAGTTGCTATTCCACAAGAGCCCAACAGAGGGCCCTCTGACACTAAGTAACCACGTTGGCTTAAAAAGCCTCTTTTCTGAACCTCCGAAGAAAAAGCAAAGCACAAACAGGGTCTGCTAAAGGGACACTAGCAACGCACCTCTGGTTGGCTCAAACATTTCTGAAAGCTCTTTGGGAAATTCCAGTACTGGAAAAAAAAAAAAAGAACAAAGGTTGTGGCATCTTAAAGACCAATGCAATTATTATGGCACAGGCCAGCACGGTTTCCACCTGAAGTCCTCCAGATGTTTGGGGCTGCAACTCCCCACATGAACAAAGACAAGAATTCCAGGAACAGTAATTCCAACACATTCAAGGGACCAGGTAGGGAGAAGGCCAAGATATATTCCAGAGACTGCAGCCTGCTAGAGTTCTTGTTGCTATGTCACTCCAAGATTCCCATCATCTACCCAGCTCATTTCTCCTTGCTTGGTTATTGATCAGCTTCCTCTATCTCTGCTTAATTTTAGCAGAACGTTTGAGAAAGGGAGCCAGTTACGGACTGTTAAACACACCGAGTGACCCTGGAACTAAAAACGCCCCATCAAAGTACAGTGCAGGGATCGGATCCAGACATGGAGAGTTCTGAGGGGCCTGTTTTGATCCACCATAACCACCCACCAGAAAAATGACAACCAAGGCACACTCACTCTCTGTGGGGAAGGACTTGATCGGTTCGAAGGAGGTAAAGGAACTGGGCAGGACCGAGCTGCTGTCCAGCAAGGCAGAGGACTGGAGGGGTTGCGTGTCAAGCCCAGCTGGTGGGCTGGGGGGTACCGTGGAAGGGGTAAGCGAGTCCATCTCCCCACTGCTTTTTGATTCTGCCGACGAGATGCCTGTCTCTGCAACAGGAAGAGGGTTACAGAAAGAGAGAAGTTGTTGTTATTATTTAAACCTGTATCCTGCCCAATAATCTATCATGTTGGATGGATTCCACACAGCTGGAGAAAAGCAACTGGCGCTCTCATAGCAGCCTCCAGGAGAGGTACCTTAAGCTGTGATTCCTGTCTTGTGAAGAAACCCAAAGTTAGCACCCTCCCATTACTCTGTGGTAGCCCAAGGGAAGTCACATGGACATTAACTGCCTTGTTGTCAGAGGGCAGCTTTTTAGAGCAGGGGATGCTCCAAGTACGGCCGCTAAGCAGGGTCCCGCCTCATCCACGCAACTCCCAAAGTGACGGTTTTCATTTTTAGAGCGGAATTCTGTTCCTTCCCCAGAAGAGTCTCTCTGGCAGGGTTATCCAACCCCATCCCAGCTCTCCTCATGTGGGAGTTGCTGTCAAACACTTGGGGGGCACCAGGTAACCATTCCTCCCTAGGAGGGCTGACTTGGAATACATCTAACTACAAACAGGGGCAGAAAGGATTTGCAAATCGGAATGCTTTTTCACATAAGATTTCATTCTTTTCATGGAGAAAAGTAAATGTCAGCAAGAAACCTAGAACCCTTTCGCTCAATATGCTTGTTTCCTCCTAAAAAAGGACATGCCGTTATGTGATCCTCATCTCAGATTCCAGCTACAGCAGAGATTCAAATTTATTCCGGAGGATGAAAGGCCATACAGAGTCAAGCATGGCCAATACATACTCAAAAAAGTAAAAGAGGACAAGGACAAGTGGATCGGGCTAGGACAAAACCTAACCTTGACTCCATGTAACTATGTTTCTACAGAATTAACCTAATTTAATAATGATCAGTCTCAATCTCCAAGTGCCCCGGAGTAAACGTTAGCTTCTGAATCAGCAATATAATAACACAGCTACTGGTCCACTTTAAAATGTGCATTCGAATTTAAATAATGCTAAGCTTTTCACCAGCCCCTTTACAGCTCACCTGCCACGCTGGCTGATTTGGGTGCAGCGGATCCGTGGTCTTGCGTGCTGTTGGGGACAGATGCAGGAGGATGGGTGCCACTGGGAAGAGATGCCTCCTGGGAATGGGGAATGGATGGCTTCTTAGAGGGTGTGACTGGCTGGCACTGAATGAGGTCTTCAGGGGGAGGGACTGGAAGCACCACTGGAGGAGAGCTCCAGGCATCCTTGTTTACTAGAAGAACGTCAATTGGACCGCTGCTACTCTTCAGGTGGATCTGGTATTTTTTCTGGCCATTTAAGCCCTAGAGAGAAAGAAAAAGGGAGCTTGCTACAAAGTAAGCGTGGACACAAGCATATGATGATGGTATCTGTGCAATGACACCACTGGACATAAGCCATCTGTGCCAACATGGAACTCTTTCTTCAGGCATTCTCTCTGTGAAGGTGACCCCAAACCTTCTCAGTCACCATGAAAGAAGAGGTCCCTCACAATCTGTTGAGTCCCACATCCAGCCACACACTTCTTGGATGAAACTAACCTACAGTGCTAAGCAGAATGGGGTGTCAGCTCGCCAAAGTTCCAGACACCTTAGAGTGGGCCATTGTCTTAACTAGAGACACTAGGGAGGTCGAACGTGAGATCTTAGGTAGGTAAAATATACAGAATTGAATCCATTAAGAACCTTAGGCCAAATAGGTATTTCTAAAACAGCAATATCCCCTTGGAAGTCATCCATAAAAGACCTCATGTGGATAGGACTACTGAGTCGCTTTCTTTTCATCACTCTATTTTTTTTTCCCCAACATCCACTTTTTGCCTTTTTGTTCTCTTCTTTCTGTATCTTGATCTCCATACAGCAAGCTAAGACAGATTGCTCTTGACCAAAATCTGATTATTACTGGAATTAGGGCTTCTGCATGTGGCCCTAGGGTTACCGGTACTCAAAGACTTCCCCCACCCCCCAAAACACAAAATCATACCTTGTCTGACTGGCAACATAGCTCTAGAGCTTCGTATGAAAGCCACCTCTTCCCTATCACTTGGTACTTGTCCTTTCAACAGGGGACACCAGGGACTGAACTCGGACCTTTCGGCATACCTCCCATCTCTCACGAGCACGCTGAACTATAACCCCCTACCCAAGACAACTGTGCTAGTGAGAGATGTCACCTGTGGGCATGTTTGGCCCACAGACATAAAATCAGGGTGAAATCTTCAAGCACCCCCCCCACACAAAGCTTTTCCCCTGATTCTATCTGGCAGTTATCACAAAGTCCTACCTCCCCTTGTTCACTGCACTGAAAAGGGCCAGAGGGCCAGCTTAAAACCATGTGTTTTATTTGCATGTGACAAGGTGAAAGAAAACAAGCTAGTTGGGATGCCTGTGAATCCTGGAGTGCTTGGGGCAAAAAATTACTCCCTTAATAATCAAGGGTGGAAGCTTATAAATCAAGACCTGCAGCCATTTGGATCACCGATACACTTCCCAAATGAAATCCCCACTCTTCTATCAAGTAGCCTGGGCAGCAAGCCTGTCATGGGAATTAGGATCAGAGATGCCATACACGGGAAACAACTTTCTTTGATAACCTCCCAGCCACTACAAAGATGGCTTGGAGCCTGTCTCTTTTGGTTTGAAAAAGACAACAAACAAACAAACCCAGCAGCCTGATTGGGGCCAGCACCACCAAGGAGGGAGCTGGCAGAGGCTTACCCGCCCACATCTTCTCCTTCCAGGTTTTGTTCCCCCACCCCCCCTCACAGCCTTGGGGACAGCAGATGACAAATAAAACAGAAGAAGCCCTGTTTGGGAGCTGCTCTAGACATTCATCTCTTTGTCAGCAGCCAGAAACCCCACGTTATGCTTCTCAGCCCTGTCCATGCCATAGGGATGACTGGGGGAAGTTAGTTTAGCTCCCAATTATCCTGGGGAAATTTGAGGCTAAAACTAGCCTTCACTTACCCCAGAGTTTTGGAATTTGCATGACCCACTAGTATTCTCCCACTGCTGCTTATGCCATTGTGTAGATACAGGTATGCTTCTAATTACTGGCTACTGATACTTTCCAACACCACTATTCCCTACTCATTCAAACTTCACAGACTTTCAACTTTATCTCCTAAGAGGAAAGGTAGGCTATATATGCATTAAAAAAAAAATTGAAATAAGTTCAGCTCATGCTTCCCTGCCCCATTCTAAACTAGTTCTGAAAAATACTCATTCCCTAATTCCCCTCAAGGCTTATTCTTATTATTACTTTTGAACCCTGTCTTTACTCTGAAACCTCAAGCCAGTTTTTGCAGAGGGATCTCCCCTCTTATTTTATCCTTGTAACCACCACCCTGTTAAATAGGTTTGACTGCAAAAGGCCCCAAATCACTCAAGCAGCTGCATGCTCACTTGAAGAGAGATCTTTGCGATCATCTCCAAACTTCTACACCCACCTCAGGGACAGGAACTTCTAGCTGAGTTCCTGATGGAGCTCGGATTGCCAGCAGCGTGTCACCTGCAACAAGAGACCAAAATGCTGCATTCAGTAAACAGAGCTAAACTGAGAGCAGAACCAGAGTATGCATTCCTCAATTCCTCTTTTTTCTACCCCCACCTGGGCACAACATTTTCAGCCCCTAATTGCCAGGAAGATTCTTCCACTTTCCCACACTCCCAATTCTACACAGAATGCTAAAAAAGCAAATCAAAGACAAGTTCATCTGGGGACTCCCTCTGAAGATGTTGCGGAGGTGGAATTAAACAGGCAGGAATCCCAGTGATGAAAAGATACACCATCCTTACCTGGGAAGCACTTGCAAAGGTCCTCATCTGTCACATAGGCTAATGTTCCTGAAGTTAAGTGAAAAACCAGCTGTCTTTGGATCTCAGAAAGATCGTTCCACCCAAGAGTATATAAAAAGGAAATCTTAAAGCATTTAGGGCAGAAGTGGACAAATTAGGGCCCCAGGAGCTTTGTTTTGCAGCCTTTAGCTCCAGTTCCACCACCTCTACCGCTGGATTATAGGAATATAATTGCTAAAAATCAGCAGTAGTTTTCTGTCATTCCCAGGTAGAGGATATATACAATAACTGCATAAATCTAAAAAGTCTTATCCCTGTTAAAAATTAATCATCCTTCTGTCCTACCCTCCCACCACCAATCCTGGAAAATCAGAGCCCCAACCAGTTTGCATTGTTCACTGTGACTCTCCACTGGAAATACACCATGAGGCCATCAGCCCAGGAGGAACATCCCAGGAAGGACTAGGGCAAAATCAAATCAGTGATAACAGAAAAGATACTAATTATGAAACACAAGGAGGCCATTATTATACCATATTAGAATATTGGAATAAGAGTCTCCTAACTTGGCATTCGCTGTTTTTCTATTATCCTAGGCAAATTAGGTTATCTGCAAAGAAACATTTGTATCAGAAAATATAAAGCTTGCATAAAAAAAAAAATCACCCAATGCAAATTGGCATAATTAATGATGTGAAGATGGAAAATTTTCTAGTACTTGATATTTTTTGCTGCAAATGTTCCACCTGGCACTCTGAGACTACAAATTCCAGAATTCCCAACCAACATGACTGAATTCTGGGCACCGCAGTCCCAAGTATCCAGAAGGGAGAACTGTAAAGTTAGCCCAGACCAGAATAATAAAGGGTCAGCATTTCAGCACCAAAGAAACATGAAAGCAGGAAGAACCAGAGTAGGCTCAAAGGATATTGGTTGTTCTGTACATCATCAGTGACATTTTTGATACTCTGCTGCACCCACATCTTCTGCTGTTCCAGCTCTCGCTCCCGGTGCTCCAGATCCTCAATCTCTGCTTTCAACTCAATCAACTTGTGGGCAATTTCACGGGTGTTACAGCCAGGCCCCACACCTCTGGCAAAAATGGGAAACAAGAGAAATCAATGGACCTGCCTCCTCCAGTGACCATTTCAACCACACATATTGCCTGCAGGGGTCACGGTGACAACAAGCCCTTCCAGTTTTTATTTTTGAGTTCTACCCTTTCCAGAGAGCATTCAGTGACACATTCAAAGAACCCCCCATGACAGAGAACTCAAGACCCTTCTTCAAAGTTCTTCTACTCTGCCTCACAATTTCTTGGGAAAACCTCCCCCCAATTCTAATAAAGTCTCAGAGTACTTCACCCCTGGGAAGTTCAAGTACCTGGTCAAAGCAACAGCATGAACCTCCTTTTAACCACTCCACTGATACTGATAACTCCACAGGAGTTATCTACAGCCATTCAGCCAGCAGAAACTCAGCGTGGCTACTGACAAAGTTCATCCAAAGCTGGCTTCAGTGGAGCATTCAGACTGTCCCCCCAGCTGTTCAGAAGAATTGTTCTGCCTCTGATTCACACATATGACTAGTAACAGCAGATGCAATTGCAGCCATGATATGACTACCAATGGAGCCAAGTGTCAGGGCTTCTGTCTCCCACTACTCACTTCCACTGAATGCTGTTCTTGGATTTCTTCTCAATCAGTCCGATGCCCTCAAGAACATTCGTAATATCGTAAATACGTCTTTTCTGTCGCACTGCCAGGGTATCTGCTGCCTGTAAAAGCAAACGACCAAAAAAAAAAAAAAAAAGAGGTGAGTTCAAAGACACCATACTGTAAAAATACCTGGACCATCACAACACAAAAGCTATGTGCATTACATCATACCCTGTTTGTGAACTTTCTCAGGGGCTCTATCTCAATTGCTCAGGACAGTCTATGTTAAACCTGGAAAGTACCATTTTCTTCAAGAAAGATGATGATTCTGGTGTGAAACTGTCAGACTAGAGCTTATCATCAAATCTAAAACTGCAGAAAGCAGCTGCAACAATCACAAAACAGAGCACTTAATACAAAAATTAACTATTGCTCAGATTGGGCTAATGTGCTTATTTCTTTGTCAATTCATCACCAATGGTTGCGACTCAAAAATGGCCCATCTATTGGGCCTTCTATTTATTTGTTTGGATTCCATTTTAATTTGTGCTCTGCATACTGCTGTAAATTTCTTTCATTACTTGGCATGGTAAAACAGTTTCTCTTTTATCCGGGGTGAGAATATAGATACATACTGAAACGACATTGTGCACCTGGCCAGTGAACTCTGACCCATCGTTTATACATTAATTGAAAGCACCATAATGTGAGTAGCTATTCACAAGCACATTTCACCTAGTTTAACAAGAATTACCCACAGATAAATATATATATGTATAGGATTTATAATTTAAATTTTTATGATGCCAAAGAATTGTTGTTTTCACTGCAGAAAAAATAACATCTACTCTCTGGAATTGGCAAAGCCTGTCCACACTTAGATCCCACTGAACACAGATAAGCTTGCTTCTGAATAACCACACATCAGATCGTGCTGCATATTTATAATTGCTGTGGCAACACTTCCTATTACTGTTCCCTTTTAGAATAAATACCATCCAGTAACCACAGGTTGCTGTTAATTCACCCAATAAAGGAGCAGAAGCCTGTGGCCTTCCAGATGTTGCTGAGCTATAATTCTCAGGACCTAGTCAGCATGGCCAATGGGGAGGGATAGTAGGAGTTGCCATTCAGCAACATTGAAAGGGCCGCATTTCCCATCTATGATTCACTGATACTTCACCCATGCTGTTAAACCCCAGCTATGGTTCACAGTACCAGAAGCAACTTCCTGCCCAAGTCTTTGCTCTAGATTTCCTGTATAAGGTCCTGGGTACAAAAAAAAAAAAAAAAACTACTGCCCTGCTACAAACTGTTCTTATTACAAGAAGTTTGGGACTCTTCCTTCCCTCATAATGCAGCAGAACTAACTAAAGATTTCTGCAAAAATCAAGCCCTGCAAGCATGCTTAAGAAAAGTCCACTCCACACACACACGTTATTGCTGTAATGAAACCGCAACTACCGCAGTTCTTCATCACGACTATCAGTCTCTTCTACCTGCAAGTAGGCTAAGCGCAGGCAACTGATTTGGAGAAGCTGCCCCACCACAGCAACTCGCCCTTGCCCAGCCACCACACAAACGCAGTTATCTCCATTCAGCGGAGGCTGTGCCTTGGCAAGCATGCAGGTTGGAGATGGGAGGTGTGGGAGAAAAGCGAAGGAAAGGGCTCCCACCAGCTGGCAGAACGGGGGAAGAAAGAACAAAAGCAGAGGCCATCCAAAGAGGATGCCACCCAGGCCCGCTGGTGTTGGATGAGAAAGGAATACAGGAGGCGCTCACAGGAGGTAGATGGGTGGAAGAAACCAAGCGCACCAGAGGTATCATTGCCCCCCCCCCACGACTGAGTGTGTCAGGGTGGGTCAAGGGTGCCAACAGGACCAAGTGGGGAGCGTGTGCACGGGCGCACACACACGCACACGCGAGAAAGCCACATGCCAGCCAAAGGATGCTGCCCAGCAGCTCCGAGGCTGGTCCTCCGCTCTGGGAAGCCCGCTTGCCTGGCCTTCCAGCACCAAGCGCCCCCCTCGAGGGCCGAGGTTACAGCTTCCCTCTCCCGGCCAGCGGATGGGAGTTGTAATCCTCGACCGCCGAACTGGTCGAGGGGTGGAAGACGACCAGCAGCCCCCAC